AATTAGTAAATTCCGTCTCTCTAGTAAGTTCACATCACCAGATTTCAATGTTCGTTTGTAGACTTCTGCGTGATAATCCACTCAGGTATTGGCGTTCTTCAATACAATGCGTTGGCCGTGACCAAGCGGCGTCCGTACATCGGTGGCAAGTAGACAGCGGATATGCAGCTCTTTGGCGCGTGACGAGCAACTGCACAACCGTCAATACTGTCAGAAACGCAGGCATTTTTGATGCGAAGCCATTGTGAATTAAGATCATCAACAGAAACTGAGCCAAGCAGTGTTGACAGTGGAGTTTAGTATTTGGTTCAGACCATTGGATTTGGTAGATCTGTGATGTTCGGTCAGTAGTGCATACATCAGGCGATCCACCGAAAAGCATGCAAAAGTTAGGACGAACTAATGCGTGATAGAAGCCTAGCTGACTAGTATGATCGGTAGTCTGTTACGCTTCCACAATACACATCACTTTTTTTAAGTGGCCGAGATGGGACCACTCTTCGGTTTGGAAAGGTTGGCGCCAGGTAGAAGTCTGTGTCCTCAAATGCCGAAAACTGTTCGAAAGAAGCAACAAGCGATAATTAGAACAAATATTCAGTAGCTTGTCCCCATTGTCTGATAGGCTGCTACCAAGGAAAATACTCTACTCAAAAGATGGTACTCGTTTGGTGACATGCAACAAACGTGTGTCAAAACGCAAAGTAGAAGGACAATATATTAAACTTCATGAGGAAGGCAAAAGGTAATGCAATTGCTGGTAAAAGCAATTCTTAACTGCATTCGGGCTGCAGTCTGTAGGAACGCAGGCGAAGAAGACAAATAAGACACGTTTAACGTCTCGACGCCTGCTTACTCTAAATGAACATCATAGTATGATGACACATCCGAGTGCTGACGGCGATCCAGTCAAGCAAGGTAGTCTCAGCACTGTCATATAAGCGCGACACACATAAGATTATTATGTTGGGCTCATAAAACAAAAGCAAAAGGCAATGGCGTGGCATATCGGCCTCTCCAAGTGCAAGTGCATCGGTCCACAAGCTATGGCAGGGAACATGTGGCCACGAAACACAAGTAATCGATTGACAAAGTGCTATGGGAAGAAGCAAAGGGATTCCAGCATCCAGTTTGGGTTTATGGAAGTGGCAATCCCAAGTACATCTTTGGGAACCGAAGACAGGGACGCTCCTAGAGATCGTTAACGACGTACAGAACCGTCATTTGGATTTGTATGCACTTTTCACTAGGCGGGTCTTAACGGACATAATGAAGGATAGCAATGCAACTTGGTAGACCCACCACAGGAGTGTGATCACCTGCCAAGCCTTCAAAATGGCCAATTTATCGCGGATTCCAGGCGTCAGGTGACCCTGGTTGCCTACCCGATTTGGCAACCATAAATAGATGAAAGTGGGACTGAGTAAATTATGCTGGTGTCGGTGGTGGGCAGCATAAGTGGAGATAAATCATCAGAGTAACATCAGTTTGTAAGTAAGCATCATGAGAATCCCGCTGGTTATCGGATGCCAACCGCACCTATGTATGTGACTACGTGTGAGAGCGTTTAAAATTACTCATAGTACGCCAACGGGACAGACAATTGCATATAAGCTTCTCGTCAAGCTTCACGTGTAATGCCGCATAGCACAAGGAGAAAGAGACGATAATGAGATAACATAGAGAGAGGGAGAATGTATACAAGCCGAACAGGTACTAGGAATGAAGTTATTTGGTAAATCCGATTCTAGGCACAGAGAGCATGAGATCTAGCCCGAGGTGAAAACAGAAGGATCGACTAACCTCGGTATTCATCTGGAATGGAATCCACTGTAATCATTGCCCGACTCTCGCGACGCGAATCGCGTCGCATTAACGCCTTGTCGTCAGGATGCTGCGGTAATGCCGACAGCGAGATGGGAAAGAAAACAAACAAGGGAGCGTTTATTACTCACAAATAAATGGTAAAATGCTCTATGCTGAATGGTAACGGGGTGAGCAGTAAGATTTACTGTTGAGAAGATACGTCGCAGACGGACAGCCACCACACATCCAGGAATGCGCTAGAAAACCGCTTCGCCCGATTGGGGCTCGTCAGTAGAGCGCACCCGCCGATTCCTCCTGGATTCAAACCTAATAGAGACGTAAGCGGAGCACGTAGGCTGTTCGCTACATGCAGAGGTCACCAGCACGGATGTGCTTTGACCTTTCCGCTGAATTTGGGAATCGAGTGAGAATTGATCGGCCAGAAAATAGCAACCCGCGTCAAAGGAAGAGAACTATTCCGTCAATGTGATAAGCCCGTGAAGCGGAATTCACTCACACTGACTGAAACCCAGAGGCAGAGGTGAGTGACCTAGACCTCCTAAATTAGCACGTTCCGTTTGCAAATAAATATAGTTAACCTATGCTGTAGATATACTCTCTGTCCACGGAGTTCTGGCCTTTTGTATTCCTTCGGTTGCAACAGAACCCATGGCCTTACAAGTTAGTCACTTATGCAGCTGAGCCATGCGTGATGGCAGCGGATCGCCAGGACTGATATGTAACTGCGATATGGCGTGGCTCATCTTCCACTATCGTGCATGTTATGGGCGTGCAGAGGACATGATTTGCCCGCAGAGCACAGACTTCCTTTGCAAGCCGCCACCAATCGAGGTGGCATGTGAGCTGCTAAGAGGATTACCGATTATCAGTGAGTAGGATTCGGCGACTGCGCGCTAGTGACGAGTCCCAGTGGGACGAAACGGCTGTCTAGCGCTTTCCTAGATGTATAATGGCTGTGTGTCTGGATCTATCTTTGGTAAAGTGGTATCCAACATCTTGAAATATAGATGAAACAAATCGAGGACTCACGAGTTCATAATGAATTAAAGACAATCAGCTTGTATATTTCCTGGGCAGCGTTACGACTTAGATGCTAAAGCTTCGTCAGGCCAATAGGGCCAGCGGATGCTTGGTGTAGCGATTATGGCAAAGCATGGACGACGACCTAGATGTGAGAGGCCAAAGTGAAATTTTAAATAGTGCCGTAAGAATGGAAAGGTCTAACACGTAAATATTTAGTAGTGATCAGTGGCATCTAATGTTCACTTTGTCCAGGATCCGTCCGCCAACGCGTGCTCTTGCCCTGTGTTCGCCTTTTGGAGTTCTTGCGTCATTTCGGAGTTTCGTTTTCCAAATTCTGCCTCATCCTTTATGGCACTTTTCAAAAAGGTCAAAAATGGAAAAGCACCTCGGGTTCCCTGTTCGGAAATCGTTGGAACCACGGTAAATGCCCAGTGTAAACAAGTGGCGCTTCGCTTAACATGTCGAAGATCCCTTATCCAGCAGTTGGTTCATCGTCTCCTTCCGAGCAGCTGACCTATCCTATTTCACTATGCGTGATACCACCGTTTTAAGACTACCTGCATTCCAACGCAGTAAGCAGTCACGGAATGGCAATGAACTATTGCAAGATTCCAATCCCAAAGCGAAGTCCGTAGTCTCAGTAAGAGTCCAAGTGGTCTACATATGCATCCTTCGCACACCGTTGTATGCTCAGAAACGTGTCGTTCAAGTATCAAGATGAAATAATTGAAGAGCTTCTAGAGTTAGTCAACATTATATTCCACGTACAAAACTGTCAAGGCGGGGGGATATCGGCGGTTCCATAAGACCATGTAATTGAGTGTATAGCCCTATAGGAACATGAAGACGTGCTTAGGTGCAACGACATTCCTTAGACGAAGGACTCCATGGAGGAAAGCAAGCTGCCAACTGCACCCGCTCCCATCATCCATAAGGACAATGACGAAGATGTCGAGTAGCCCTCCAAGAACCAAAAGCAATGTTTGGGAGGCGATCACAAATCCGTCAAATAAGTACAAAAGGCTATTGTGTAAACTGTACACAAAGAAGAACCATAGTTTTAATATATTCGTCCTAGCAGATCACAAGCTACATAGTTCAACCACAATCCGGAAAAGCATCAAACAAGTTTCGCCCGACTGAGACTCGTCAGGGGTGCGCAGTCCCTCGGGTCCCTATTAGATATCGAACCTGACTGATAGAGGCTGACGCCAACTAGCCAGCAGCTTAAACCACTAAGCCATGGGGTACGGCAGCTGGGCTACATAATTTGCAAGCTAACTAGGATATAGCACAACCTATCTTCCACTGCCACGCAGGTTCCTACCAGCGCAGAGGATAGTGATTAGCATCCCAGATCATGAATTCCTCTCACTAGACGCTATGTCCGTAGCAGTTGAAACTATGAGAGGTTACATTTTATAGTACGGCTATATTACGACTAAAACCCTCCTACTCATAAGAAATATGAACTGAGTTCTGTGGCGTTCCTCAGGCACCGTCGAGACGTGTGAGGTGAGCTTGGGGTCAACACACCCAGGAAAGGTAGACTATTGGTGGATACAGTCTATCACAACGAAAAATCACAAGGCGAACAAACAATACTGGTAGATAAGCAGTGAATGGCCTTAGGCTGGGCCAACTAACGGAGGTTAGTTGCGTCCGCTGTAGAAAGGAACGTCATAATAAGAAGCAGCTGAGAGTGCAGCTACGGGGCACTGCGCGCAGCGTTCTGGAGTGATGGTACCGAGTAAGGAGGCCGTGGATATATGTTCAACACGATTACCAATGAAGATGAACATGAGGCAATGGATGCACGCGCGTCATTTCGATGAGTGTTACATTCGCTAATTTGATGGACTGGTCCTGTTAAGATAATTCAAGCTGACTGGCCGATCAATGCGCTTTTCAACTACCGACGCCGCTATCTAAACGAACCCTCGAAGTAGCAAAAGGATACATTTCAGAAAAAGTTGGAAAATTATGATCAGCAGTAAGTGTTCTACAAGTCATCGGCCAAGTATCAGAAAAAAAACAATATGGCGTGAGTTAACAATGGAAGAGGACATTCCGTCGCGCAGGCTTTGAATTAGGATATGGGTAGCGGATGATGAGTCAGCCAGGCTGAGAGCACCATGGATGAGTTGAATACGGTGCGAATGTACTTCAAAGACTGCATAACTACACAACTACCGGCACCTGATTAGGTCTTCGAAAAAGCACCGGGATAAGGTGTAACAAAGGTCTGATGATACTAGCCCAACATTCAGGAAGCTTAGATTAACACAAGCAGTTGGTGTCCCAAGCTAATGCGCCCCAAAACCACTAAGATGATGCACACACCGGGGGCTATTAAGGATTTTTCTTATGTCGAAAGCAAGGTAACCGTCCAACTATAAAACAGCTACATGACAGATACTCAGAGCGACCATACATTGTCTTAGGAATCGTCGACTACGAAGGCAGTTTAACTAACATGAAAAAACAGGGACCCACAGCAAATTGATCAAAGAGTTCATGCACAGAAGAGAGTCGAAACATTGGCAATATAAAAGTCATGCGGCAAAGAGGCAAGTCATCTACCTTGTCGTTACTAAGCTCTTGTTCAATCGATGCAGGTGCTGAGACAAGTGGACACTGATCGAACTCTGCTGATTCGTCGTGCGCAGATTTATCGGCTGGAGAGAGCAAATCTGGAGCCATTTCCCCAAGCCATGCAGAGGCTTGGGTACCAAATTCCGAGAGCTGTTCCAGAAGTCGGTTATGTACAACGTTGAGGTAACGAGTGAGTTGGGCGAATAGAGACGAGCTATGGCATGAAAGAGAAAATTAATGGGTGAAAGAGGTTAGAGGAAGGAGAACCGGCAAAAGGACGCAAACTTTATTGGAAAGCTCCTCAAGACATGCGGAGGAAACAGTCTAACGTGCTTGAGGCATAGAAACAAACAAACATTGCCAATATGTGCGACGCCATCGAATAACTCCATCGTGGAGAGACTCTAAAAGATAGCGATCAGTGCGATATCGTGACGGGTGCGCTTAACTGTAAGTTGCGTGCTTTGAGGGATATCTTGCTGAGATTCCGTGAGCTACAATAAGGAATAGATAGGCGGAACACAACGCACCAGCAAGAACGTAATCTTTAACGCACAAAAATGTAGTCTAGAAATGAGCCCTCAGTTCGGTCAAGCGGAAATGGGTGGGGGTAAGGGGCTTGTGCGCGCACACACACACACACACACGGCACACTGTGAAAGGCAAGATGGTAGGTAAGAGTTCAACCAAAGCCGCATATGGGAGGGGTGGAGGAAAGGCTTGACGATTAGCTGAGGGGGTCAAATACAAGAGAATTCTATTGCACAGTGGGAACAATGGAAGCAAATGTTGGTAGCTCAGGTTGGTCAGTTGGTGGACTGGGTGTTCGCCGAGCTGGGCAGGTTGACTGCAAACGTTTCGTCCCCACTCGAGGTGACATCGTCAGTGCGCGTGTAATAGCAGAGTGGCGCGTACGAAGTGTCCGTGAGTCTGAGTGGGAGGGCCATATGAAGAAATGAAAGTAAATTGGACGTAAAAAATAGCCTTCTAGCACGGTAGTCAAGTGCCAGCTCTCTTTCAGATATATGCTTGGTGCATTCTGATCGCCGGGTGCAGACGGCAGCCCTGCGACTCGAAACTGGGGCATTGGGTCTGCCGGACGAAACCTTCATTCCTCAGCAACTGAGCAGTGACTAATGGTATCTAGACCTGATGAATGTGAACAGGAGGGAAACCAATTATGGAGTAGTGTTTCCTGACGGACAACACCAAATATCCAGCTGCTCCATTATCAGTTACGGTCGAGTGACGGAAATAGCCGGGGTTCACTTCAAAGTGAATTGAGGTCCAAACTGCGATTGTGGATCGCAATGTACAAGTGCTTCTAAAATGACTCCCGAACAGGTCGTTTATTCTGCAAGCAATTTGGCATCAAAATGATGATCAAGCTAATGTTAACACGGATCTTTTCCAGTTAAGCCCCGCCACTAATGCAAAAAGAGCACGCGCAAAAAGTTAAGCTCCGCCACTAAGGCAAAAAGGGTACACCTGAAAAGTCAAGCCCCACCAATAGTGCAAAAAGGGCACACGTGAAAAGTTGAGCCCCGCCACTGTTTGCCAGCTCCAGTATACGTAATGCATGTGAACGTGCCCCATAAAAACACTCCTTATCCGCTTCTAAGGTCATGTTGGTCCAAAAAGTTGCTACATTCGCACGTAAAACCTGACATGAACTTTCGGACGCTTTCGGCGGTCGTTCATGACAAGGAAACAGCAATACGTTTTTTGCAAAGCCATGGAGTGATTCATCATCAACGTTTATGCAGACGAGGACACCAAATGACACTTTCAACTGCTTCTGACAGGTGTGATGCCCGACAGTGTCGGTAAGAAATCGGTCTTCGAAAGGGAACTTGGCTGCAGCGGTCTAGGATGGATTTCAGGACAATAATCCTATTCATTTATTGCTGGTCCAAAAATATGACAACAATCAAATTCTGCTCAGAGGAGTTATCTACTGGCCACGTGACCGCTGTCTACTGGAAGAACTTTCTGCGTGAAATTTGCGCCTGGCAGCTTTTGCAGACTCCAACGATTGTCGGCGGCCCAGGTCTATATGTTGAGATCGATGAAACCCTAATATCACGTCGTAAAAACCATGCAGGGCGAGTCCTTTCCCAGCAGTGGATTTTCGGAGGGATTTGCCGGGAGACTAAAGAAGTGTTCTTGTATGCAGTGCCAGATCGAACTGCGGCCACTCTGCTGTACACAATCCAGGCCTGCATCGCTCCCGGCTCAATTATCATTTCCGATATGTGGGCATCATACCAAGGCATTGAATCGATGATTGGCATGAGTTATACTCATCAAACGGTTAATCATACCGAAAACTTTGTGGATCCAACGACTGGAGCTCACACACAAACCATCGAATCTCTCTGGCACATTTAAAAGATGCAGAATAAGCGCCAATGCGGCACACACCGATCTTTAGTGGGCAGCTACCTGTGTAAGTTCGTTTGGAGGAAAAGATACCGAAAAATGGACCTTTTCATGCAAATTATTAGTGACTTGTCTCAATTTCACCCTCTTCAATAGAGAGTAAAAGTTCAAGTTCCATATCCACCCTTTTCATAATCTTCTTTGGGTGGCGGGGCTTAACTGGAAAAGATCCGTTAACACGACAGTAAGCCATTGTGTTGGACTACTAGAAGTCATCTAACGATTACCTGATGATGAATTGGTGTGTGTAATGGGAGAAAGAAGGAGAGCGATGGAAGCTGGAGTTACCTGACAAGCATGTAGGCCGGATGGGCTTCATCCACCCCGGAGTCCGATTGGATTGTGCAGTAATGGATCCGGCCACGCCAGTTCTCGTCGGTCGAGGTGAACGGGTGCATTGAGTCGGGGACAATGAGGACCTCTGTGGAGAGAAGAGAGACAACAAGGAGAGAACAGCATCGTCTCATGGCAGAGTGTTGTGCTACACTGGCCCGCTAAGAAAAGCAATAAATGAGTTGAATGTTTCGGTGCAAAATCGTCAGACACAATCCTAACACGACACCTATACATGAAGCTGGGGGGAAAAGCATAATCGAAGTCCACTGGTGAATGAGTTTGATCGGCATAGCCATTATCCTGATCATCAGCACATCAGTAATTTGAAATGACACATTGTTGCCGTAGAAGCGAAATCACATAGGATATAGAGAATAATAAGAGAAAAAAAATCGGCGTAAAACATAAACACCCTGAGCAAACATTCAGGACCAAGGCGCCTATAGCTTGTCAATAATATACCAAAACAAAAAGCTGACTATCGTGCAAAAATTAGGGCAACATCCGCGAGACAGCTTGCTTGCGGCTTTCACGGCCACGTGTCATAATTAGCCAAAATCCCGCAGATAACTCAGCAGTAAACGATCTTCAGTTTGACTAGAAAATGACTATCAATGCACCACTGACGGTCATCATCATCATCGTCATACACGTTAGCCAGAGGTGGGGAACACCTCAGCTACTGTGCCGCAATACATAGAAAAAATGCGAAAAAAAGCAACTGGTGCAAGCCGGCTGAGCTACCGGTAACAGATAGGCATCGTTCCGGTAAGCTACCAGTCGGCTGCTGTGCATCAAAAAACAAGCATTATGCAAAACTATATAAGGCCAAATAATGAGATCCTGATTGGAGGGGGAGGCTAAGAGGGATGGGGTGGGACAAAGAAATTCACAGCACGAACGCCACTGAGGTCGGCTCCTAGCCATATCAGCAAGTGTGTCCAAACAAACGTGTTCATTGTCTTTCGGACCCCAACCAGGGAGCCGACACGCTCCAACTGGGGCCAACTCAGAAGTGAGGGCCTTCATTCCCCTCGACCAAGTCATCGCTTGGCCACCCCTCCACTTCTTCTATCTACACCCCCGGTGCGGAAACAACACACGTCGCGGGAGTCGGTGGGCTGGCATGCGTAACACGTGGCCAAGCCATCGGAGCCTGGTGCGTGAAATAACGGTGCTGAGCGGTTCAGTTCCTTTTCCTGTGCCATAAACAAGGCGTCGAACACGCTCGATGCCCACGCGGTGTTCCCACCAGATGTGAGCTAAATCACGAAGGCGCCGGTGGTCGAACGTAACTAACCTGTTTATTTCCGCTGATCTAAGTGGCCAGGATTCACAACCGTACAGTAAGGTCGAACGTACCGCTGCACTGTACACTCTATCCTTCAGGGTAAGAGTGATGTCGTGCCGGCGCCATAAGTGGCGAGGGCTAGCAAAAGCGCCCCGAGCTTTTGCTATACGATACGTGATCTCATCATCAATCCCACGGGCGCTGATACAACTTCCCAGGTAGTTGAATTTTTGAACGACTTTTAGCTGATCCCCACCAAAGGTCAGCGAAGGTGGCGATCCCTGCCAATCTTGGAGGAAAGCTTTGCACTTCGACCGTGAAAAACAAAGCCCGAAATGACGGACAGCTAGTGCTAATCTGCCCAGTGCCGCTTGGCACGCCTGGGAGCTGTCACAGATCAGTGCAATATCATCAGCATACTCCAAGTCAGTAAGTCGTTCTGCCGGGAGCAGATCCACACCTTCTAAGTCGTGTCCATGACGACGTCAACAGAGGACACTTATTTGATCTCATGTAAAATAATATTCGATATCTAAAATGAATTGGTGACTTCTTTAGAGCATATGCTGCGTAGTTGTGGTACAATGGATTCGAATGGAAGAGACTAGAGTAAAGGCTAAACGAAAACATGTGACGCGGAATGATGAAGTTGGGAGGGGGACGTAGACGACAGAAGGTCGAAACCACACAATGATGGTTTTGGTTGCAGAACGCTCGCATTGTCTTTGTAAGTGACATGCATCGAAGCAAGGTGATACGCATCGGGAATGGAAACAGGGACACCGAAAGTTCGGAACCAACTGTGCTAGGCATTGGAAAATCCATCTGCTCCGTTGTGCAGGAAGAGCAAATCCTGCTACCTTTATTTTCCAAGGCTACTGGCACATTTTGACTCAGTGCGATTGCAGCAGCCGCCGAGCTTTCGCGATTAGTTTGACAAACGTACGCTGGACACAATCAGCAAACACCAGCAACCGGTAAGAAGCAAAAAAGAGCGAGACAAAGAAGGATGAAGTTCGGTGGAATAGCATAACTAAGCAGAATCGGATGACAAAGAAGAAAGTGATAAGACCACTATATAGCGCTTACTCATAAGACTCAGTCTAAGAGCCACCAGTATTTCAGGATCAAGAACGTATTGGTTTCGCACAATGGAGCAAAAGTTGGCGATATCCAGATGAGATGAACTGGATTTATGCATAGAATGCTCAAATACAGAGTCATCCTTTGTGTCGCCGCCCATGTGGTTGTCCTCGGCTGATTGTTGCGAACCTACACCAGAAGGACCATGTGATAAATCCAGATTGGCATCGATTTCAATGGATTTCAGAATACCCTCCACATATTTCTGGGAGAACAGTTCTCGATGATCACATTTGGTATACTGTACACAGAAGACGAGAGGAAAAAGAGGCAGGTGAAATGACGATCGTACAAGGAACGCAAGTCCCAACGATAGGCCGCTTGTTTATAACATCCGACGTTAAACTTCTGTCATTTAAAGTGTACACCAGACCATTATTAGAATACTGTGCCACCACTCATAGTAGCATCACAAGATGCGAAGAGTGCCATCGAAGCTACACGAAGGTCGATTCTTAAAAGAATCGTAGGCTGCACCTCTAAGCTCCCTTATAAAGATAGATGTCATTTGTTAAAATTGAACCACTATGGCTTCGATAATTAAGGCTGGATTTAGGTCTATTATTCAAAATGGTCCATCGACTAACATACAGTAGTTACTATAAGCCGGTGTTCCAAGAATCTTCACCGTATCACCTAAGAGTATGTGAGAAAGCTATCTCGTTGCCGCACACATCTGCGGTACAACACATTTACACATAAATATCTCACATTATGGAATAGCTTGACCCAGACCATTAGAAGTACATCTTCGCTTCGAACATTTAAGATGCAAGCAAAAGAGTACTTAACTGTTAATAAAATTACAGAACTGGTTCGTATCAGTTGCACAGATGAGTGAGTGTAGGAGAACGGGCCTGATAACATCTAAGTACTTGCGGAATTCGCAATATAAAAGTACAGATAAAATGGCAAGAAGGTCTTGCCGACACGACGTGAAATACAGTGTTTCCTTAGCATGAATTTTTCTTACTAGATAACTTAGGTTTGTCTCGCATTCCTTCCTCCTACTATGTCACATCCTTCGGTATTACACAAATTGATGACCCACCCGTGGCCTATGAAAACATTGCTACATCGGTGGGTAGGATAAATTAGATCTATTTCTGATTTTCTCTTTGTCTATACTGTTATATCCTTGGTGTTATTAAAATTGTGACCCGTTGGTGACCAATGTAAACATGGGCACATCGATGAGTTGGATAGATGTGATTTAGTTTCGATTTTTCTCTTCATCTACACAGCTTCTTACTATGCGCTTACTTAGCTTGAAGACCCATTGATGGCATTTGAAAAACACGCGTACATTGGTGGGTTGGATAAGCAAGCTATTTTCTTAGCCTTCATATAATGGTTCCATTCTATTACACAGCTAGGTGAAAGCCCTGGGTGTCTGCAAGACGTGGACCCACTGGAAGGGTGGATTTTTGATGGTTGCAATTAAACCACCGAATTTATGTACGCAATTCCACTTGCCCTGTATTGTCACATATTATCTCTTGTATGAGGTACATGATTAATTCATGATGGATGCAGTTCTCAGTTTAACCGTCTGTGGTGTAAGCATGTCGGCTAACACACGTTCACTATTTATAAAGTACTGTTATATACCAATGTTGTGAATTTGAAATTACATTTCCCATATACATATTGTCCCTCACATCTTAAAACGTTATATCGTCTTCTTTTTCCAATCAAAGGTATATGAACGTTTTGCAACTGTCGTGGATTCCGACGAATTTCGAAACGAAATCAAAGGCGTAAGAAATAAGGGAATTGGACTCACAAGTGTTTTTATACAGCAAGTTTGTAAAAACAATTCTACATTTTTTTTGTCCCTTATGATTGGATCAGCTTAGCTGGTCCGTGCCTCAAATATTTGAGAATACACCAATTAATTGTGAGGTAAGGATGGAGAAAAAGCGATTTGCAAAGTTAACGTTTCAACTCGGGAGAAACTACTCTGGATGAGAAAAGGAGAAAGAGAACGCAGATTGGTGGACGCAATCTGACAGCGCACGAGACAAGTGGCCTCAGTGCATGCGTTGAGAAAGAATGAGATGAGGATGTATCCAAGTTGCCGAACAGCAAGCTGAATGGATTTTTCATTCCGTGCCGTGTTGAGAGCTGAAATTGGCGAAAATTTTTAAAGCGGATCTGTGGTAAAAGCACCTGCAGCCAGTTTGGTACGGCGGATGGGGAAAAACCAAACACATTCCCCTTGCCCTCCTCATTCATCAGCTAAAATCTGACTGCTTCTTTGTAACAGGACAATGTTCACAATGAGCTTAGAAGATGAAAGTCAGACAACTCTGATGAGCAGGATGCTTCATGAACAGCAGTTTTAAGAGTGTACTATCTTTAGCAGGTATCTTCAACAAATGGGTCACTAGGAGTGTAATCCCTGTTATTGGCTAGAATAATTCCGATGTCCAGAAAGGAATCTTATAAGTACCACCCGATTGGGTGTACATTTGTGTTGTGGAAAGTCTTCGAAAACTGCTGCCTATATCGCGATTATCCACGATCACTTATGTTGATGGAATCTATCAATTCGAATACAGGCCTAAACGCTGCACATTATTCAGCCGATAGCGTCTAGGTTGGAACAAAGACGTAAATTCGTGTGGTTTCGTCTTCTTGATTACTCAAACTCTTTCGGAAACCAGGAAAGGTCAACGTTGTCCAATCTGCCAAGATTTATGCAAACTGCCGTATGATTATGTTACGGATCATACTTCCTTAACCCAGTTAAAAAAACAGGAAATCTTCTTCCCTTCGAGCCGAATGTGATGATTCACAGGAAGAGATTCTATCGTCGTTTTAATTTTCCTTAAATGTCGAGCAGCGCTCTGTGTCACTAACATGCAGTGGATGCAAATATGATGCCGATGTTGTGTTGGAATGTATGGCCCCTACCAGTCAAACTTCCTAAACGCTTCATCTTGGATTATATTAGATTAGATCTCCAGTCAGATCCATTGCTCTAAACGCCTTGTTTTAGAGATATCACCCCCATTAAGAATAGGGAGCGACAACGTCATACTTGAATCCGTCACTGTCAGGAATCTCGGTATCTTTTCGTCCCAGAAACTCTGCTGCTCCATGCATGTGGATGAAAATCTTCACAAATTTGGAAGACGATTTTTCATATCCTCACATTTAAGATGGTTCGGTAGCCTGGAGCCGATTGTAGGCCCGTAGCCTAAAGGTAAGGAGCATGTCTTGTAATCTGACGGCGCGGGTTCGAGTCCACATAGGGGCAGGGCGACCCTCGTAGTATCCTTAGCACACGTGTGACCGGTGGTAGCTGCGCAGCAGCAAAGCGTCGGTATTACGTACCGGTGTATTGCTGATGCCATTTTTCTGTCCTTGCAATTTCAGTAACTTGTAGTTTAACATTTAAGTTCCTGACTCAATGCATTTTCAATGGTTTTACCACTCCCCGGTCATCATCTTCCTTGACTTGCTTCAGAAGGTCTACACCTTATTGGTACAATCGATAAGACGCATTTGTAGATGCGGCAGTTGCGATATAGATTCGGGTTGCTTTGATTATTTCTAGGCATTTTGATGTCCGCATCTGACTTTTCTTCTAAGGTCCTAGGTGACTGACTTAATATACAACACCATAATCTTTAGAAACGCCGAATTTTTCATTCACGTGTTTAAAAGCAGGTTTTATTTCCTTGAACTTCATCATATCGTACTACTATGTCACGAGTACTTGTTGACTCACTGAAAGTCACAAACATGCTGCGAGAGCGGAAGTTAGACGAACAACTGTGTGTAACTTTTATTTTTCTCCCCAAGTGCATACTTTTCATTGATATTATCTACGGTACAACCGAAAAGACAGTGTGAATGCTGATAAGGAATCTAATTGTGTGCTCAAGGCTTATTTTGACTTCAGTAGGAAAATAGAGATCAGACCCGAAAGGAGTATAGTTAAACACTGGTGGAGGCCAAATATCCTGGTTCGCTGAGGATCTGTGCTGTCGATGCCATCAGCAATCCTACTGATGCGGAGGAAACAAGACGGCGAAAAACTAGATTGAAGTAAATTGGAGATCTACAGTTATGATTAAGGGCGGGGGCAAATGTAACCAACTGATTCGTGCAGTTGTGTTATAAAGTTTAAATAAATAAAATATTTCCCAGTCGAGATAGTTTCAGACTTACCAATTTTTTCAGACGATAATCGTGACACAGATGATATGCCTGTTGGATGACAGTCCGGGTGAGCTGAAGTTTGTCAGTTACGGCGATCGCTTCAGATTCCTCTTCGTGACTCCACGGCTTGGCTGGTGACAAACACTGACTAGATGATTGTGACGCAACCGCATTGGGTGTATTTGGGCAGACGGTGGACTGTTGTGGCAACTGGGACGAGGCGTCACCAAAACACGGGGATAGTGTAGTCCGGAGAGACCGCTGCGGCTGCGAGCAGTGTGCCAAGCTGATCCACAACAGTGTCCAACTCATCGGGAACGGCGACAAAACGACGAAGCACCCAGAAGACAAACGTCCGACGATCGGAGAACAGCTGACGTGCTGCCTCGGTGTGATTGTATGCCTGCAAAACTAGAGAGGCTGCTTGCCTACAAAAAAGAGAGAAATACAGGCAGACTGTGGAATGCCCACGTAAGAAAGCGCAACAGAGTACAGTTGAAAGTTATTGTTCCATATTAACCACCTCCTGGAGGTGATCACGCGAGAAGTTAAGGCACAAAATCTGCAGAGTATGTTTCAAAAAAAGCGCCTAGACAAATCAAACAGCGAACTGAAAAGAGAAAATATGCATCGCAGAAAGGTATAAAGAGATAGATCGAAAAAGTTTGTGTGTAAAATATACCACATATGGATTAGGATAAAAAAAGGCATCATCACTACGCCTGTAAGCAATAACGATGCTTCGATGCTCAGTAACCACCAACAGTCGCCCGGTGCCCCTATGCCGACTCAAACCTGTAATCTCAAACTACAAAGAAGGGATGTGGGCCGAAAACATGGAGCATAGAAAGAAAACAAAAACGCTTTAGCAAGAATGGAGTGCTTGGCCAAATCAAGTTACTTTTAGTCCAGAAATGGAGCATGAAAAGAAGGCGTGAGAGCAAAATCCAGGGTAATTAACGAATTTAACAATCCTAAGAGCCCTTCTAGTCCGACCATGTGGATTGGTGTATCGAAATCCGGGAGCACGAAGTTAGCACATGTGGATTACGCCGAGGCACACCCAAAAAGATGATCGACAGATGCACATGCCCAGAAGGGGTAGCAAAACCGCAGAAACTGTTGGCTCAGTTGTGCGGATGAATGCTCTTCATAAAGGTGCAACGTGGCTAAGTAATCCATCGATCGGGAGCCGAGAACTGAGACAGGAGTGTGCCAATACATCAGATGAGGTGCGCAGCGACATCAATGACTGATTGCTGATGACTGCGATAAGAGTTATTCACATAAATGGAATGAACTCGACGGATGATATATGGTGCCAGGTAGCAATACCACACCCCACGGTTCAATTCGTGGTTGTCCGCACTTGTCAACAAATATCGAAACTATGGCCTTACTCCGGGGAGCGGAGGTTTTCAGTTTACGCCACCGAGTCGCGGATGGCAACGCTTGTCACAACGATCAGTGGACTTAAAGAGCGTTAATTGTGAAGCAACCAATGTGGGTGATTGGATTGAGAAACGCAATTCAAATAAACTCTGTACCGTTAGATGGTCGAGAACAGAATTCAACAAAATCAAATCTCGACCATATAAGTCCTCAAAACCATAAAATTACAGATCATAGTTAACTCACGGTGGAAACGTGAGTGCAAATCGATATCGACAAGTTGATAGCCAATATGCGAATACATTGTATCCGGAACGAGTTAACTTTGTAGGCTAGAGCTACGGGATGGGCCAACTTAGCGGTCGGAAACCCCGTCCGACGTGGCAGACCATTGGTCAATAGTCATTGCGTCGGGTAGGTTATGCTGGTAACTGCGAGTCAATTCAGGTGATGCGACTAACGTCAGTTCTTCCTCAGACTTCGACTTTTCGATTGTCTCGTCATCTGTTGCACAGATGCACTGTGGAATAATTGTGTTTACCCCTCTGAATGAGCATGTTGTCTATCTCCTGTGAGTCCATCGCGCTTCTTCGAAGGCAAATCGATACTCACTGCGACAACACGGTCCCAAACTACTTGATGCCACAAAGTGGATTGGAATGGCTAGTTTTCTCTGCTTTACGTAACACAAATGCTAGGCGATTTCATGACTAGATGGGTGTTTGGCTCCGAGCCGACAGGAATAATCAGCACCTCCTTGGTCTGTTCGTTATGCTGCTCGTATCAAACTGGTATCAGCAAAACGATGGTTCGTAGCACCGGCGCTTCGCTAAAGTGCAACCACCACCACTCGCAAGCGGGCTAAGAATACTGCGAGGATCGCCTGGTCCCCTAAGCAGGATCGGACCCGCGCCCTCTGATTACAAGACAGACCGGTGGTTCTTAAGCCTACGGGTTGGCGTATCAACCAATCAACACTCGCTGTGTGTGTGTTTAACCTGAAAGGTTTGATGAGTTATATGTACGTCGTCACACTCGTCTGACCCACGCGCGACTACACTACACGCTAAGCTCGAAAAATCAACTGATCGACTGCTGCAGGCAATGTGTCAGGTACAAGCCAAGGAACGCTGTTTCCTCGCATCACATATGTAGTGGCTTTTGTATTGGGGCACTGGTACGCCGATGTGTGTGACGTTTATGTTGGGGGCTTGTACTATCAATTCTGGCTTTTCTCATTGGTGCTATCCCGGTGGAAATGCGTCAGTCAATCCTTCGAAGCAAACTCATCGGCAATTACACAACTGCAGTGGTGACAGGAGTCAAAGCGGTTCCATCCGAGGGAATGTATGGTGAAGTAACCTGTGTCAGACTGAAGGAACACTTTGATCACATACTACTGAAAGGTTTATAAAGGCAAAGAAACATAGAAACAAATGAAGAATCGGAAAATGACAAGACAACACCAGATATCTAAAGCGTTGGGAGCACCCGGACTGCATTCACTGATTGAATACGAAGAGATGATAAAAAAGCGTGGAGAAGCCGTTTCTGTACTATAAATTGGGATTTGAACGTTTGCCCGACAAGAGCAACTCCGAGACCCTATCCATGTGCGCTACCGCAGTAGTCAGATGCACGCAACTGCCAGACCCGAGTGCATGACCTTGCCCCAAAGTGTTAGTGACTTATGTCACTGGGCCATGGGTAAAGAGTCCCAATAGGACGAAAGGTTCGGCTAGCGCCTTCCTGGAAAAGTGGCGACTATCTGGCTACGACGATTCTTCTCAAAAGCACGATAGCCACTGGCTATTCTCTAATAATCAGTAGTCGCCCCAGCAGCTTACTTGCCACCTCGATTGGTGGCGGCTTGCAAGGTTCTGCGGGCCAGCCATGTTCTCTGTATGTTCATAACCTGTACCACCGGTTGTGGATGAGCCATGCTATCACGCAGTAAGATATCAAGCACACATGGCTCAGTGGTATAAGTCGTTGGCTCGAAACAATAAGCTCATCGGTTCGAATGTGGAAGATGTGCGTCACTGGCGAGTTGCAATAGAAAGTGACGGCCGCTTAGCGCGTTCCTGGATGTGTGGTGGCTGTCTAGTTGAGTCTAGCTGCGACGAATCATCATAAAAGCCAGCGTGATTCTCGTGAATAAATAACGCAACGCTGTTGGGTCGTCTGTAGGCAGCATTGGCTTTGAAGGCATCAGCAAAACGCTCTGCAGCCACGCGTGACCATCAGCAGTCACGCGTGGGCCGGGCGAAATCGCTCGAGTCGACGCGGATTCGAACGGGTGACCGGTAAGTGGATGATTTTTCCGTAACGCGGAATACCAAAGCAGCCAAAGAGATGATCGATGGTGAGAGTGAGACAGCTTTTCTTGTGCTCTTGAGTTTAGTTTGGCAGGAAACAGAGATGATCGAATGTAGTATGAATGTTTCCGAGTGCTGGTTGACGACGGCGGAGAGTGCGGTATTGCATCGGTAATTTTATGCATTCGTAATGTAAACGATTGTCACCATACAACGATTAGAAATTTCTCACATTATTTTGAGATATGCATCCGGTTGAAGTTCGAACTAAGGTGGGTTGAATCAGAATAAAACGAGTAGACACTTAACTCAGCTAGATGGTACAAGATAACAGCAGTATCCGCCGGTATGCAGTACCGACGCTTCGTTGCCGTGCAACTACCAACAACAGTCGCGCGTGGGCTAAGGATACTGTGACGATCACCCGGTCCCCAAGGCAGGCTTGTGATCCTTTAGACTAAGGGTCGGCGATAATACAACAAACCGACAGTAAAATTTAAGTCGAGTGATTACCGGACAGATTCTTTGTATGGAGAGTCAGCTTGACCCACTTCTGCGCGTGTCACAGGCTGCGTTTCCGTGTCCTCCTTTGAAGGTTTGTCTTCATCCTCGGAAGACGTTTCGGAAACTGTCTCCCACTCGCTGTCCCAATCAGAAGTGAGTTCATCGGAGTCATACTCGTCAGAATCATCGTTGGACCAGTCATCATCATCCACAAACTGGAGGAGAAGTAGAACAAAATGCGAAGAGAAGGTAAACAGAACGCCATGAATTACAACGCCAAAGCGGTAGTTCATACATAACAATAGTACACACATAGACTAAGCGAACACTTCGTCGGGAATCCACATGGGAATTGAAATGTGATGTGTGACATGCCTGAGTCAACCGCCCACACACCAAGTGGGAATGTGGCCTTTCTGGCTGACAATCCCTGCCTGGTCGTCTACTTGTAGTGTCTGGGTTGTGACTCTGACTGTCTGGTTTACGTGTTCCGTACGCACCTGCGCCCTCGGTGCTCGAAATAGTTTCGGACATATCGAGACCGTCAGTATTGGTTTATGCATGTATGACGTTACCTTATTCCCTTCCGTGCGTGACTGCCAGCCGTGCCCCGTAAATGCGATGCTTCTCAGTTCCTTAATAAATGACAGCGTCCACAGTGCTTCGACTTCCCCTATCCGAGTGTGACTGTTAACTGTGTGGTAGTTGTCGATACATGCGCGAAATCTAAGGTACCTGATAAGTACACCAAAGGAAACACTCAAGGTAGAAAACAAAACGCGCTCCGAGTCCACCATGGCAGAACCTAGTGGTTTCATACGCACTCTCGAAAGGGGCTGTCAGTTAAAGCAGTTCTCATAAGAGGAAACATTGTGCGATAGTGAAGATAATCGATGTTTGGCCAAGCTGAAATTTCCTCAAACGCCAGCGAGGGTGGGATATACAAACGTCGGTAAAGTCAGGGGGAACGTATACTAGCGATCGTGACGAAGTGCAAGACATTAAGATGAGTGCCGTCAAGAATGGGCCGAATGACGGAAGTCCCTCTGGAATGTCGAGATATTCCAGTGGACCTTGATGCATGATGTGCGAAAAGCCTGTAGGAGCTTTAATTTCCCACTGGATTGCCGAAGTACCTCCTGGTGGTGTGAGCTGGATGGTTCAGATTTACCGCGACCCAGCGAAGTGTTCCGAGACAGTGTTCCACCTCGTTGGGGCATTGTAGTGCAGCAATTATGCTGATTTCATGGGAAGTATTTGGCCCCGGTTTGGTGACCTAAAAAACGAAAGACGCATGAACTGAATATTCAGTCAGCGACCGTCAATGGGCGAGATTCCCTGAATTCGCCCCGCTGCCTTGCGGATAGGTTATGTAGCCAAAGCCTCGGGGTGAGGTCCCTAAAGTCAAATCCCTACATCGGCTTTGGCAACCGGGTAGTAGCATGCCTTCTCACAAAACCATGGACTGTACTACAACGTGCTCATGAGGTGCCGTTTCTGCTTCTCATATTCACGCGACGTCATCACATGCCAATTGTATGGTTGCTAACAATCCTTACTATTCGTTATCCGATTCATGTGTTCAAAAATGTGGCTGCGATTCCGGTTGCGCCGCGAACCACGGAGTTCAACATATGGCTCTCCTTCGTCCCCGATTCTCGTCCCGTCTGGCGTGCTTCAACGTTCGGACACTCATGCAGGTTGGAAAGCAAACCGGTCTAGCACCCACCCTAGAGTTTTTCGATACTGATGTCTGCTGCTTTTCAGAAACCCGATTGCAAGATCCCAGCACGGTGTTAACATTGACATCCCCCATTGAGCACGAAGCCAGACGTCACCTGTGTCCTTCTGGAGATCCATAAGCATCCTATGAGGATTCGCCGGGTGTACGTGTAGCACTAACAAGGCAAGGCCGAGGCGGCACTACTGGACTGCTTCCCGATTAACAGCCAACTGTACAGTTCGGCTTCGGGGTTTATGCAGAATCAACAAGCACCGCGAGGAAAGACGCAACTTGTTAGTGATCTCCGCGTACGCTCCAAATGGCTGCAGTGGTGGCCCAGTCAAGGACGAGTTCTATCGGGATCTACATCAGCTCTTGACTAATGCTAAAAAGTCGGATGTCGTTGCTCTTGTTGCGGGTTAGCCCCCGTTACCATACGAACGCCACCTTGGTGGTCACCACGTGCTCGATAAAAACCGCTCTAAAAACGGAGACAGGCTTCTCATATTGTGCGTATCGCTAAAATCCGATCAGCATTTGCCAATCTGAGGCACTTGTGGCGTCGTCGCGACCTCTCATTCTCACTAAAGGGCCGCGTTTACAGCGCATGAGTTCGTTCAGTATTGTTGTATAGGAGCAAGTCCTGGCCGATTCGCGTCGAAAACATGTGTCATCTTTTTGCCTTCGATAACGGTTGCTTAAGGAGGATTGCTCGTGTTTGGTGACAACATCGAGTTAACACCAATGACATTCGACGTCGCATCTTGGGGAATGCGAGTATTCCCATCAACAAACTGGTTTTGCTGCGCCAGTTGAGATGGCTCGGTCACGCCCTACGCTCGGCAACTGAGCTGCTACCGCGTCGCGTTCTGTTCGCTCGTCAAGGACCTGGCTGGAGGCGACCGCGTGGTGGTCAGCCTTCCACTTGGCGACAGCACATGAAATCGTTGAGGTCGTGTCTAGCAGCTGTTGGATCCGTACGTCTTCGAGAATGGAAAACCAAAGATGAGGAGTGCCAATGGCTTAACATTCGGGAAGACATGGCTCGCAATCGGAATCAGTGAAAATATTGTGTACAGTGTTGTATTTATTCACATGTTTAATATTTCAAATAAGGAAAAAGAGAAAAAAGAGAAAGATCGGCGTGTGAAAAGCAAAATGTTTTGTTCCACGTTTTGACAAAATGTTCCTTTCTCTCTGCGGCATAATAGCTGAAGTGTTTTGCTCACCTTCAACTACTATGCCACGATGATTATGATGCAGTGACTTCCCTTTAGCTGCCAATTTTCATGGCTTTTTGTCTCTACGTCTAGTTGCTAGACTGTTGAGATTACATACATATATTTACTTTCCGCTTCAAGCCATGTGCTTTAGATGTTCACATTTTCAAAACGTCAGTTCAGCTCAGTGACGCGCAATATATGTTTCGAGATCGCATCAATTATTTGCCCTGTGCAATGGTAGTAATATGGTTACGCCCATTACTCACAGAATGCCAAAACCATGTATATGATTTAAATTTAATAGCCGACTAAGCCTGTTATTCAAACTTTTTGAGGGGTGCCAAGCCTGAACTTAGTTCGGTTGGGACGGATTGGCAAAGCAAGCGAAAAAAACAACAACAAGGAAATACCCGGTAGATTGGGACAACTAAACGCCAAGCCGTCTGGAACGGAACATACTCGGTCCAAGTAATGCGCTTGACATCACAGATGAGTCAACCGGTAGTAACATGAAATCCAGACCAGTAAGTTTGGCTCCAAGATCAGTCGATGACGAATATACGTTGTTGCCATGGAGATAGTACGAGAGTAAATAGATTCCATCTAGAAGTAGACATCATTACCTCTTGTGATATCTCAGTAGACAGACTCTGTTACACTTGATTTAGAATTCACCATGAGTGCGTATGACGTAGTTATACACCTCAATTAATTCACCAATTAAATTTGGTCAAAAGTCCAACAAAATCACGTGATCGACTGCCAAAGTTGATGGGGCATAGGTAGCGGCTTTAACGCAGGCAATGATCTTGACCGGCTCGGTTTTTCGCCGCGCGTTCGCATCGATCGTCCTTGACCTTATCAGCAACACACTTGTCGAAAAATTCTGATGGTAATCGCCGCTTGGTGGAGCAAATTGATTCCGGTCTAGCCTATTGAAACACTGCCACTTTAAAGTATCGAGCGCAGTGAAGAATGTACGTGTTTGATGAGCGAGTGCAAGATGCGTCATATGCCAGGAAGATTTGGGATAACGAAAACGCTAGACAAAGGACCCACTAAGGTGGATGATAACACACGTTCCTTGCATGTACACGCTAATTCAATTGGGCTGTTAATCAATTAGGATCCGCGCACCTAAACGCGGTGCATCCAGAGGTGTCTGCTCATCATACCAAGGGAAAATTACAAAGAATAAGAAAGGGGACAGAAACTCAAATTGTCACATGGAACAGTCTGGTAGATAACAGTGGGGAAGAGAAAAGAAGAGTCACTGGTTTCGTGAGTGCATCAATTTTCGATGGGATGACTAAGTAAAACGGATGTGGTCAATTCAGAGGAACCCAACCAAAAGGATAACATGCATCAAATTCAATTTGTTATTTCGTGTGCCTAAGCCACGCAATCGACTAATTGACACAGAGGATACGAATTTGTCGGCGTCCTCATTTATTCTACAGATTAACCATGGATAAGAAACATCGAGTCGATTGTGTCGCAATACAACGCAATAAGCCAAAAAGGACAAGAAGAACCAATGCGCAACAAAACAAAACGTTAGAATGCTCTGTTATATAAATATATATATGTATATATATATATATATATAATGACATCTGGTTGGTGAAAAATCCTTAACACATTTTGGATAAGATACGTAGTGATTTATTAAAATCTCGAAAGATGATGTAACAGCTAACGAAGGTCATTCGCGGCGGATAAATGCGGGATCTTAGCATATCGAAGCAAAATAGAAAGGAATAATCTATACCTCTGTGGAAAGCCAATTCAATTCAGGAACATAATAAGAAACGTGGGTATTCATTGTTCGAGCATCCACAATTTCGGGGAACAGATCGAATTCATAGCAGCCAAAGCCCGCAAAACAACCCGGTTAATTTGCAAATCACTGATATTGCGTGATTGCTTTAATGCACTACTTGCTTCCATTTTCTTTCCATTCGATTTGCCTTTAACCTCCCTCTTTTTGTTACTATTACTATTCTTGCGATACAAGTCGTGACAACTAGATCCACCGCACTTCGGTGCTCGGATCATTGATGATCAACTGAACTGATATTTATTAGTTGTTGTAAACGCGATCACCTATGTCCGGAAAATGTGCAACGTCGGTTCACCAAAGCCCTATTTACCGAATCCCTAACGCCCAACTACTCAGAATGCTGTATTATGCTTATATTAGAGCCGTTGTGGTTACGGAGGTTGAAACTGGGCTTGAAGTTTCTATTCGACTTAGTGCACAAACGTGTATATGCCCCGCACACTAGCATATACTTTCTTCAGAATGCAAGGTATAACATTAGGAATAAGAGAAATTCGATTCCCA